AGACTCTGAAAGTTTCAGGAACAAAGATTCTCTCTTTTTGTCCTGATCCAATTCTATAAAAACCTGTCTGAAAATGAGCTGATCAGATTGTGGTCACTTTATGATGTCATAACGATAATTTGGCTTGTGTAACCATTAGCCAATCAGCAACCAAGGTAACCCCCAAGGCTGAAACAGAGGGGATTGTGGGAAGCTGCAATGATATGTTTGGTGCCAATAAGAGATATGTTCTGTATATATCTGAGACCTGTGATATATTGATGAAAAACAGTATAATAGGGGACCTTTAATACAGAAGCAGAAATAACAGAACGATCAAAAGTGAATCTCCTCTCCTCACCATCCAGCCTGCGGGGATGCCAGCAGCGACGGTGGCGGAGCCGGTTGCTGCTTTCTCGTCGAACTTTTCTGCGGTGATGAAGTCGACGGGCAGAGTGATCTTCACTCCGTTCTTTTCTGCTTTGGCCATCAATTCCTTAACGATGCCAGCCCCCTCCTCATCGAACAAGGAGGTGCCGATCTGATGAGAGAGAGAGAGAGAGAGAGAGAGAGAGAGGCAAGGATATGTTATATATTAATAATAATTCATTACATTTATCAGAGCGCTTTTCCAAGTGCTCAAAGCGCTTTACATGACACATTACACATCTTGGACATGTAACAGTGAATATTGTGGACAATACCCCCATAGAAGCAAATTAGGGTGAAGTGTCTTGCTCAAGGACACAACGGCCTGATGCAGCGGCGGGTGTTATTTCTTGTCATCTAGAAGCTAAATATCTTTATTGGAGAGCTCAAATGTTGGCATGATTAATTATATTTTGGAGGGACGAGGTGTAAAGTGAGTCATTTAACAGCTTCAAAATATTAAGTTTGCAATAATTCCCAGCCAAGATCTATAGGTATATACAGGGTTCCTGCAGGTTTCACCAACTCAAATGTAAGACTTTTTAAACCTTTAAGACCACTTTGAATAAAATGTAAGCTATTTCACGGCAAGAAAGTATGAAGGGAAATTGCTAGGAAAGAAGAAATACGTCCCTTAATGACTTGCAAAATAAATGTATTCATGTTCAACATAAGAACGATGACTGAACATGACAGCATAATCTTACGCAGACCAGTGTTAGTCTGTTAAACAAAAAGTGTGTGTGACAAGAGCTATAGTCAGAGCTGTGCTGTCTTCATGCTGTTGGTGTTTAGCTACGGTATTAAGCGTCCACAGCACCTCCGCTTTTAGGGTTGACGTAGACTCAAACAAATACGGTTGAACTTGCACTTCCCCATATTTATTTGTAAGTAGATTAGAAGATTCCTAATTTCTGACTGCTGCTAGCTGAAGCTTGGTTGCTAGGTTACTAGCTTGGTGTTCTCCGATAAGGGGCCGGGGGAAACAAAGTTAATGATTACTGGTTCCATGTTGATTTAATTCAATACAGATTTCTGGGGGGGAACTGAAAGGTTACTTTGCAACCCGGACATTTAAGACCTTTCTTATTTTTTTGATCATATTTAAGACCTTTTTAAGGCCTTAAATTCTGATGATCAAATGTAAGACTTTGTAAGACCCTGCAGGAACCCTGCATATATGTTTAGAGGTCCAATTAGGGTCATTGACATGATTCTCAATCTCTGCTGTGAAACAACAATCAAGTGAACAAAATCAGTTTGACAAGTCTGAACGTTGAGCACAAAGTGGTGAGGAAACCCAACTTGAGAAACACCTGAAATGACACACTGATGTTTCTTCAGTCATACAGGGCACATTCAAAGTACTGTTTTACTCTGCGACAGCAAAAAGAAAGGATTCCCCCGATTTAAAAACATATCTACACTAGCTTTAAAAAAAAAAAAAAAAGATTGTAATAACTAAAGCTGCAAATGACTTGTTTGTGAAAGACGTCTATCGAACTACATGACTTAGGTTTGGAACATATCTATTTAGTGATTCAATTCACTACATTTTCCTTTTCACACATAATCTTTGTTGTATATTTTTTTCCAATTGTACATATATGTTATTTTTGCAGCGCGGTAGTGGGCGAGCAATGAAGCACTTCACTGCAGGGATATGTCACTGTTAGTTTTAGTCTTCCTCACCTCCATGTTGTTGAGCACTTTGAGGAAGGTGAAGGCCATGCCTCCTCCGATGATCATCTCGTCGACTTTATCCAACATGTTGTTGATCAGCTGGATCTTATCTTTCACCTTCGCTCTGAAACACAGAGGCGGCGAACATCAGAACAGATAACAGGCATGGTGAGCAACACTGAAACGTACATGCAGTATAGACTTGTGACATATTTGAACAACATGTCTGAGCTGGGTTTTCATAGTTTAGGAAATGTATTTATTTTTGGTTCGTTAATTTTTGAGCTTGACCTAGTGAATTAGAAGTTTTGAAAAGAAGTCGAACTCCTCGATTATTTATGACTCATCCAATAATTGATTACTTGTTGCGGCTCTATACCGTATGGCCGCCTTGTCTCACTTTAACTGACTGTCCTGGGTCATATAACATCATTCCTTTTTAATTAAAAATGTGTTTTTATTTATTCAGACCCACTTCTTACCAATCATAACCATTCCAACTCTTAAACAGAACATCTGTCACTCTGCAGCTGTTCCTGACGGCCGATCACACTAATGATCAGCGTCCTGTGTGTGACCTAGAGGAGGATTGGCAGCGCGGCTCTATGCTGAGCAGCAGCCACAGTTACACAATGCACTCGGGTCTAAAATGGACTCTGACACAAGGCCATAAGCAACATGAAGCACCAGCAGCGTGGTGAAACTGAACTCATCAGACTGTGGTGCTAAAACTAGGAAAATAAGTAAAACACCCGTAGCTCAACAGAGACAAAGAAACCACACGTATTTTAAAAAGGTTTCTGCATTTTGTGGGTTATTTTAAATTAAAATGTTTCTTCTTGTTCATCTTTGGTTATAACCTCCAACCTCCTCATAAGGGAATATAGAAGCATAAAGAATATTAGGAGGCGTGTGGCGCTGTGGGTAGTGCGTTGGTGCTCGGATCAGGGGAGCACAGGTTCAAACCCCACTGCAGTCAGCATGTCGTTGTGTCCCTGAGACACTTCACCCCAAAGCGCTCCTGTGGGGATTGCCCACAGTATTGAGTATGTTAGTCGCTTTGGATAAAAGCGTCTAACAAGTGACATGTAATGTAATATTAAATTCTCACTGAAACCGCAAAACAGGATGATTTAAGATTCATTTCTTTAAGGAAATCAATCAGTTTTGGTGACTGTAGTTGTGTATACACAATTTGTATTTTAATATGAAAAAAAACCTTCTGTTAAATAATTGAGTTGAAACGGGCTAACGGAAAACAATTATGGAATGTCTCAAAAGTGAGTGAATTTGAACATCATCAACAAAGCAACCCTGAAAATATTCGTAAATTAATGTGTAGCACTATTTCCACATCATTTTTCAGACACTAATAATCAACATGACTAAACCCAGGGTATAAGCTCTCATCCCTGCCAGCTCTCCATCTTCTCACTAAACTGTGAGCGGTGTAAAGCAGAAAGCAGCTGTTCAGTGAAACCAGGTCACATTATGAGCTTATAGTCTCTATTCCTGGAGGCCGCCTGGTTGAGAGGCTGCTGTGAGATATCTAAACACAGGAGCGGAAGAACGGAAAACACTGACAGAGAATTCCTTTAAAAATCAATAGTACATAGAATAAAAACTGGTATTGCATAAGGTCGTAAGGCTTATTTTCTCAGCAGGAATCCAACTAGTGAGTTTTACTTTGGTGTGTTACGGTCTAAACGCCCACAAATACGTTGAACTGCACAATTTCTATTATATTCTATTTTATTGTATTTACTTGCACTTTTATCTGTGTTATTGTGTTGCACTGTGGGAGTGGCATGTGACCTAAGAGTGTCATAACTACACTGTAGCTATGCACATGTGCTACTTTACAGCAGATGTGTGTCGCTTGGCGTAAAGAAGTGGAATTCTTTGCCGAATGATTTAAAGAGCTGTAAGAACATTTTTATGTTTAAGAAAATGTATAAAGAAAGCGTAATTAGAAGTATGAAGGTGACTTTTGATTGTAGTCAGGTTTTATGTTTCAGTATTTGTAAGCGACTGAGAGTATATTGCTTTTATTTGACTTTTTAATGGTTATTTAAAAAAAATGTTTGTAAGACGGGGCAGGTCAAATAAGATTCTCCTCCTGCTCCTTTCCACCATGCGCTATAAAAAAAAAAAACAACCAGTACAAGTGTACATGTTTTGTTTTAAATAACTGCCATGTGTGGAATAAACAAATACATGAGAATAAAAGCCTTGATTCTTGATAACTTCATCAGTGGTTGCTATGAAGTGTTCTCACCCTCCGAGGATGGCCAGGAAGGGCCTCTGAGGTTTCTCCAGAGCCATGGCAAAGTAGTCCAGCTCCTTCTTCATCAGGAAGCCGGCCGCCTTCTGAGGAAGGTTCACTCCCACCATGGAGCTGTGAGAGGAGGAAGAGGAGCCGGGGATATCAACATCATATCATCACTGATGTCACGCCTCCGTTAATCGGCACCCCGCTCACCTGTGGCCTCTGTGAGCTGTCCCGAAGGCGTCGTTCACGTAAACGTCTCCCAGTTTGGACAGAGACGCCCTGAAGGAGTCGATGTCTCCCTGAGAGGCCTTCGTCTAACAGAGGGGAGAGTGAGAGAAGAAGAAGATGTAGCCTGTAGTGATCCTTTAACATGCATCTGTTCAGCGCGGTCTCCTAAACAATCATTACCAAACCTTTCAAGACCTTTTTTAAGACCCTTTCCTACGTTTTAAGACCTCATCTCCACTTGGAGTTTGGACCGGTTACCTTGGCGACACACTTTACCTCACATTTACTATATACAGTATTGATTGTCCTTTCTCCTTATCTTCCAACCATTTGGACGCAGACTTGCACAGGGTTCCTGCAGGTTTCGCCTACTCAAATTTAAGACTTTTTAAAACCACTTTGAATAGAATTTAAGTCCTATTTCATAGCAAGAAAGTATGAAGGAAAATTGCTATGAAAGAAGAAATACGTCCCATAATTACTTACAAAGTAAATGTATTCATGTTCAACATAAGAACAATGACTGAATATAACAGCATAACAGTAAAGAACTGTGTTAGCGTGTTAGACAAAAAGTGTGTGTGTGTGTTAGGGCTGTGCAATTAATCGTATTTTAATCGCAATTACGATTTTGGCCTGCCACAATTAGGAAAACATCATAATCGAAAAAAACGAAAATGTTGCTTTGCTAGGTTGTGACAGTGCACTACAACATATTTGATCGAATTAATTTTAGTCTAATTAATTTGTCAAAATATTTGTTGATCTTGTTTATTGGTATTTTTTTTTTTTTAATGTATAATTTATATTTGTATTGGTTTTTCAGTTGAATTAGACGTTCAGGGTAAACAGTTAAAAAGATACTGTTCAAATTATTATTTGTTTTAAAGTTCAATAAATGGATGTTTTCAAAGTCAATGAATAATCGTATTTAATAATCGTGATATCAATTATTGACCAAAATAATCGTGATTATGATTTTTGCCATAACCGAGCAGCCCGTGTGTGTGTGTGTGTGTGTGTGTGTGTGTGTGTGTGTGTGTGTGTGTGCTATATGTTAGCGTGAGTTTGACTGTATGTGTGAAAGGAAGAGGGAGAGAGTTACNCTATCGATTAGAATTATGATTGAAACTACAAAAAGATAAGGAGGACTTTTACAAAAAAGTAATAGAGATTTTAGTCCAGAAGGATAGGCCAATGGACTTCATCTTCAAGTCAAGAAGTCCATTGGCCTATCCTTCTGGACTAAAATCTCTATTACTTTTTTGTAAAAGTCCTCCTTATCTTTTTGTAGTTTCAATCATAATTCTAATCGATAGATTTATGATTAGAAAATTATAAAAGTAGGGTAGACATGTGGATATTATCCGACTGAACAAAAGGTGCATTTATCTAACAGGTACGTTTCCCACAGATCTTATTTGGAGCTATTTTCTAAAATCCTATGGGGAAACCTCATTGCTTTTTATTCCGAGGGAAACAATGCGCAGCTTACTTCCGGGTTTTAGGACGCGTCACTGCACCTCTCTCGTCTCCTCTTCACACACCACACTTTTCGCGGCACACGTACTTAAAGCCGATCAGCTCTGAATTATGTGAGATGACGTATTGTGTGGATGGCATCTCAGTGCCCCTATGGTCATTATTTTTTTGCCACACACATTAAATTGAAAAATACTCTGAGCACGCGCAGTGTAGTTTTTACAGTCACCGTTCAGTTAGACAGTGAGAGGGAGGGGTATGATCGGCATGACACTGTAGACACTAATTAGAAGAACACAGACTAAAACAGCAATGTACAGACGAATCAGATGAACATGAAAAATGAAACATGATCTTAAAATATATTTTATATATATTTATTTTTTGGTAATCATTATTTTTAATACTTTCTGCTGACACTAGGTAGGGCTGTGCCCCGCCTGCCCTAATGACCCGTCGCCACTGCGTACAAGGAAACACTTCCAGAGAAAACCCACAGTTTAAAGGGGAACATAGGAGAAACCTCAGAGAGAGCAACAGAGGAGGGATCCCTCTCCCAGGACGGACAGACGTGCAATAGATTCCGTGTGTAAATTGAAAAGATAATACATTTGCAACATAGGTAGTCCAAATGTTTGGGAATGCATGTGTCTATAATAGGAAGATAAATCCACGAGGATATCCATCCAGGACTTATGATCCAGGACCGCAGCAACAGGATCAGCCACGACTCCGGATCCCGGCGTATATAATACCTGTATGATAAGTCCCCTTTAAGTAAAGTACTGATACCACACTGTAAAAATACTAAATTTCAAATAAAAGTACTGCATCAAGAATGGTACTTCGGTAAAAGTATTAAAGTATAATTAGATAATGTACTTAAATCACCAAAACAGCTCGACAGCGGCTCTTCTTCCTCCACAGGCTGAAGGTTCAACATGGACTCCAGGACTCTTCTTGCACTATTTCTATTTTATTTGTATTAACTTGCACATCTTGCAACATTCTCTTGCACTCTTTTATTCTGTTGTTATTTCTTCCACTATGTTTTATTGGTTTGATCTGTTTGATGTCCTATATATATTCACGTTGCATTGTTGGAGGAGCATGGGACTTAAGATTGCCATTGCCATATCTACACGGTAGCTGCTGTGCATATGACAATAAAGCCTTGAATCTTGAATCTAAAGTATCAGGAGTAAAAGTACTCATTGCAGAAAAAACTAACACAAAATATAATATATTATATTTCAAGCAAAAGGAAATATTCACTTTTAAGAAGCTGCAATTGTGATATCACAACAAAATTGCTGCCAATTCATTTGAACCCCCTCATGGTTTTAGTTACTTTAATATAAAGTTGGATGCTTCTAAAATGAATGTAGCATAGTACAAGTAGAAATTATTGTAATGAAAATACTCCAGTAAAAGTACAAGGACCTCAAATTCCTGGTATGTGTTTACCAGTGGTGAATCACAACTGGACCTTCTGTAGACACACACAAATTGTATTTATATAATTAAATCGATGTTTTGTTTTATCTGAGTGTTCCAGGGTATTCTCTGGACACCTTGAAGGCCCTGACGGTTCACCTCTGGTGTTTAACTACTTACTTGGCAATAAACCTGTTTCTGATTCAGATTATGAAAGTACTTCAGTACTTGAGCAAATGTACTTAGTTAGTTTAGTTTAGTTTATTTTTTTCCAGCGTGTAAAACCAAAGAAAATACAAATGAAACAAAAGATGATACAGACATGATACAGTACTATACAAATGAATGCAATAACAAAACAAAATATTTAATTAATAATTGAATAATCTGTAGTATTATTGTCTGATATCAATAAACAACAAAGCTTTAGCTAATTACACGTCCAAAAAAAAACTTCCATCCCAGGTCAGTAAAGGTTTGGATGGAGGACAACATGATCCTGACCCTGTCATCCAGCATATCTCCAGACCTAAATCCCATTCAAAACCTCAGGGTTTATATAGATGAAGACCGATGGATAGTAGTGAAAAACTGAATATTTATTTGGATTCTTCTTTGCATTATTTGAGGTCCTAAACCAATGCATGTTCTTTGTTACAAATAAATGGTATAAAAGACAATATGTATTAGTTATTTGGGAGAAAGGTTGTCAGTAGATAAGAACATTAATACAATGCTAATATTATTCAAACACTTACATTTTAAATAGTTAAGCCGGATAAACTGATCATTAGCAGTGACCCTTCATTTTTTTTAAAAGATATTTTGTTTCTGAATTTATTATAAATAAAGCTTTTGAAAAAAATGGCGGCGTACTACTTCCGCTAACTCATCGCTTCCTGATCACTTCCCTTTGTTGTTACGACAAGTTTGCTAAAGGTAACACAACATCGGAAGTACGTCAGGAGTGTTTCCACCGCAGTAAGTTATTACCATAGACTATATGGTTATTATTTATTACACATCTTTCATATAATTATCCTACTTATTTCGAGCTGCGCGTCTAATTGTTTTTTGTCTCTAAAGATAGTAGCTTCATAGAAAATCACCCCTTTTATTTAACATAGCTTCCAATAACAAAAAACACCAAATACATTGATGCATTGCAGATACAAAAACAACGCGAAACAAACACGAACTGGTTTTATTTTGAAAACCATGAACAGGAAGTACGTTTTCATTCCATTTCACTTGACGTTTCCTTTTTGTACACGGTAGCTAGCAACCTTCAGCGCACGGCCTGTGTGATAAGCCTCTCTTTGAATTTCTCTTATTCTTATCGTTCCCTGGAGTCGAAGCTGCTTTTCAAATATGAATACGGTTCTTTCAAGGGCTAACTCATTGTTCGCCTTCTCCCTGAGCGTCATGGCGGCCTTAACTTTTGGCTGTTTCGTCACGACAGCATTCAAAGACAGAAGGGTTCCTGTGGACATCCACGTCTCTAAAGTCATGCTGTAAGTTCCTCCGTCTACTATCTGTGTAACACCTGTTAGCATTAACTCTACCTTAGTATACTCTATTACAGCTGGGTCATTCCTAGCATTCGGTGCCATTTAGGTCCCCACCACATTATATCATATATTTTGTATTTAAAAGGTCTAATGCTTTTTTTTTAAAAGGTTGGTTTTAAATGTGTATACCCTCTACCATAAAACAACAATGTTATTTAGCCAGGATATTAAAAATTCTAAATAATGACTCTGATTTTAGCACAAGTAGGCAAAATTGCTGTGTNAAGAGGGGACACATGTTGATGTTTAAGAGACATGAAGAAGAGGGGACACATGTTGATGTTTAAGAGACATGAAGAAGAGGGGACACATGTTGATGTTTAAGAGACATGAAGAAGAGGGGACACATGTTGATGTAGAAGAGACATGAAGAAGAGGGGACACGTGTTGATGTAGAAGAGACATGAAGAAGAGGGGACACATGTTGATGTAGAAGAGACATGAAGAAGAGGGGACACATGTTGATGTATGAAGAGACATGAAGAAGAGGGGACACATGTTGATGTAGAAGAGACATGAAGAAGAGGGGACACGTGTTGATGTAGAAGAGACATGAAGAAGAGGGGACACGTGTTGATGTATAAAAGACGTGAAAAAGTGGGTTTTGCATAATAGGTGACCTTTTTTAAATGTAACCCCTCCTCAGGGTCTGGACTGTGGACCGGAGAGCATTAAGGCCAACTCCGAGGTGGTGGGCCGGGCGAAGCAGATCGTGTGGAACGGCCCCGTCGGCGTGTTCGAGTTTGACAACTTCGCCAAGGGCACCAAGAGCATGATGGACAAAGTGGTGGAGGTCACCAAGTCCGGCTGCGTCACTATCATCGGTAAGAGAGACGGCGTCCATTTGTTTTCAGCAGTGTCGTCATGCAGTGTCAACAATCTAAATCTTTGGTTGAAGAAAAAGGGATTTCATAAGAAAGGATACTTTGATACCAAGTTGCTGCCACCTTTCTGAAAATGTGTTCTTTTTTCTACCCTGTCTTTTCCCCTGATTGTGCTACATCATGAACAACACGTGTATTTTTTAATTGGCAAATGGAGATCTAGTTATTGTTAGCAGACAGTGAGCAGAGTTTATATAGAGTTTTATTATGGTGCTTTTATGCTCTGTTGATTTAAAAATAGTATTGGTCAACGGTTAAGAATAACATTTTCATGATGTGTTTTAATGTTATGTAAAAGGTCATTTAAAGCAAGACAATTGAATAAATACAGCTTTCACAACAATATAATTAGAAATTAGAGCTACAATGATGACCTATTTAACTCCCTTACAAAAAACCCGGTGTGAAACGTTAATAATGAAGTGTATGTTGAACTACATTTATTTTTTAATGGGGTTTTGATATTTGAGAATTGTAAAGGCCTGAAGCGATATTAATAAATGATTCGATGAAGTCCTGCTTTATGGGATTTGCTAATACGCGAATGTGCAATAAAGATAATTAGTGTATGGAAATATTTGTTACCCCTTTGGAATTGACCTACCACATGACTTGCTTTTTAAAATGTTATATTGTACATGCATATCAAAATGCCAGCCAACCACGAACAAGTCTGAGCTTGAAATATACTGTAAACACAACCTGAGGTCAACTTTAATATGTTTGGTAAACTTCTAAATGAAATTTGATCTGTGTTTGTGTTTAGGGGGGGGTGACACCGCCACCTGCTGCGCTAAGTGGGACACAGAGGATAAAGTCAGCCACGTGAGCACCGGGGGCGGAGCCAGCCTGGAGCTGCTGGAGGGTGAGCGGCGGAAACACAGAAACATGGACCTAGTGCCATCTTGCTTTATTGACATGTCTCAAAAACTTTTATTCTTGTTAGAAAAATCTCATTCGTCCCCGGCTTGAGCTTGAACCTCAGGATCCATGTATCTGTGATCCTCTCCAGAATGGAAGTAGTCATCACATACAGAGCATCAACTAGTTCCTGAACAGTGTCCTTCACATGCTGATATCCAAGAGAGGGAGTTCCACAGTCACAAGATGGAGGAATAGAAAGCAGTATTCAATGTTTACTTCAGATTAGCTCCACGTCAGAAATGATCATGCTTGTCATATGTCTCTCTCCATAGAGGCTGAATCATCATGTTAATCACATAGCTATCATATGCCTCAAACAGTCCTGATGCTCTTCTAGGTAATCACACATCCTGTCATGTTCACAGCTACAGTTGGGATACCTTTGTTATCATGTTGCTCTCAGATTGGAAGAGGACATTCACTATTTTCCCAACAAGGCCGCTGTCTCGAACCAATATCAGATTTGTACCTTGGCGTCTAAATTCTATGCTACTTTGTAACTAACAGGGACACTCCCGCAAACCAGAGCTGAGTAGGACGTCCAGGAGGTCCTCTATCCCTTAGTCACTGTTTGATGGGACTCTTGTGCTACCTCCTGTATTGGTTACTTAATAACGAGTATATGAGACAAATTTCTTATACTCGAAATCCTTTAGACATCTGGCTAATAAGATGAGTCCCTGTCTTCGAGCAAATGTCTTCTGCACAAGAAATTTGAAAATGATGTAAGATAATACAATGTTTTGAAACAGGGTACTCCTACTTTGACAACACCACACTGTCCAGTCTGTAACACAGTGGCGAACCGGAGGGTACGTCTATCGACTCAACTATTCAGTATATGCAGACCAGAGTAGTAAGGTCCAACTGCCCACTAGTACACAAAGAGTTCAGCGTAACCTTAGGGGAGACCTCGTCTCCCTTCGTCAATGCAGCAGTCAGTTTGACCTTGTGTGTAGGCCTATAATACCCTTGCAAATGAGCTCATAATGTTTGACTACACTCTATAACTCCTGAAACCCAAAAAGCACCGTAATTTGAGGAGACGTTAGGTGAACAAAGGTCAGACGAAACAATCGGAGTCTTTCTAAATGTTATATTTCGGAACTGCCCCCTTTGGTGTCGTCGAATAGGAAAGAACTATTGTTGATACTAAGTAACTTTCTGTAAGGGGTGGTTTATATCAGTCCCTAACTTACAGGTGCTAAAGAGCGACTAAGTCACAAATGGAGTCTCCTTTGGAAAGTCCAGCCACAGAATAATTTGACGTAACGAACCAGGTCCGCCTTCGACCACTAAATCTGGTGACTGAGACTGTATGTGATTGCAAAATATTTCTATCTCCCATAATTTTTCGTGCTGTGGCAACACAGTCAGTCTCAACTACAGACAAGTAATCACCAGTGAACAAAATACAAAACAAAAAAGAATCCAAAAAAAATCTTTATACCTGACACGACAACCATTAATGATCATAATTTATACTATCTTATCTTTGTCGTAGACATGTAAACTCTATCATCACTAAAAGTCCCCCCCTTTACCCTAGGAAATCTCACTTCCACGATTCGGGTGAAGAGTCACATGGTTAGCATAGACTTGTGACCGTCGTATGTTCGGCTACTTCGAATCTGGTAGTCTCACGACTGGTTAGCATGTCGTCTATGAGTTAGCCAACTATGTAGTCTCATTGACAACTGTACTAGATGAATTTTCACTCTATCGTAAAGTTCACAAATTCATACTCTGTGGAATGTTACAAAAAAAGACTGTGGGGTACTCGTTAAAGCGTTACCTATAGGTGTATCCCTTCGTGCCGATCTACCACGCCCAAATGAGACTACAACTCAGAGGAGGCACTCATCGCATGTGTCCGCGACATCAACGACAGAGCCAGTGCTCATCAAACCTCCTACGTGCCAGGCGATCGACGGGGGAGAGAGACCTCTGGACTCCGAAAGACGCCGTCCCTCGGTGACAAGGTCTTTACAGGAGGTGAGGTGAAATCCACAGACCTTTTCCTGGAGTCTGGTTTGTGACTCGTCTCTGTCAAGGAAACAAAGAGTTCTTAACACGTGGCTCCCACAGACCTCTACGTGGACACTTGTGGTCGTAGTTTGGTATTGACATTGTCCTCGGTAATCCTGCTAATCTCTGTAGGATGTCAAAAACACAAGTAGGGGAGCAGCCCACACCATACTAGCACTAAAGGTTCTACCTTTCCTATCTTACACAGTCGTTGGGTGTGTTGTCGTTTTGCGTGACGTCGAAACAATCTTATCCGACTTGTGATAATTTGATAACATAAATTGTAAACCGCATGAAATATAGTGATTTTTATTGAAAGACACCTGAGGACACTACTACTGTGACACTTCTGAAACTATTGGTATAAAAACCCAAACGTAAAAACACACTGGACAGAACTCTGGGGTACTGTAACTAAACTTACATAGAAAGAAATTGATAATGTTTGGTACTAGGGCTTGTACTTGACAATATGTCATATCGTTTCATCAACTCCCGACTAAGATTCCCATGGTTGGCAATGTGATCGTTGTTATGACATCAGCATCAATTGTCGGGAGCTATCTATAGCTCCACCATTTGTGAATTTTGTGTATTGTTAAGTGGATGTCCACGGGAAATTTGTCGTCTCCCTATTAGCAGGTAAACAGATTGATGTCACTCCTCCATTTCACAACCCTCGCTACAGCATTTCTCGCGTGGCTCGCTGTCGCCTTCTTCGCTAGCTTTCCGTTCTCGTCATGTAAGAACGATAGCTACGCCCTTGCCCCTTGTCTTCTACATGAATAGGAATTAGAGATGCTAAAATGCGTCCAAACAGCGTCAGCGGCGCCACGCGTCCATTGCACTGTACAAAGTGATCATACCACTCCATAGGTTGTTCCACACAGACCAATAAGTTCGTCCCTGTCTCGTCTCCTTGTAACAGGAGTGTCCTCTTACTTATTACGTCGCACCTCTGACATGGTTACTCTTAACTTACATAAAGCATATCTCTTCCGAATAAACACGAAATACTCGTTATGAGTGGTTGTTACTCGAGTTACCGTCTTAAGAAGTGCTCCGACAGCGAAACCTTTTTCGCGTCCCCACACTTGAAGCGGACAGCAGTGGAAGCAGAAGGGATCACTTCTACCTCCGCGAAAAGGCACGAAGCTCAGCTAGCAAACTTTCTACACTCTGAGCAGGAAATTGACGAGTCAACTCGATGGAAATTATGGTAGTATTACTTGTCCGTCTCTAGCAAATGCTTCTGAAAGACGACCAAGCGAGCCGCAGCGCCCGCACATGGTGGAAGAAGCGTCAGTTTGTCAACAAAACTCCAAAAGAGCCACGCACCCCCTCGTCCCATTTTACTTGTAGACAGGGAGACACCTCTAGTGAAACCACTGTCGACCCCTGCATCTCTGTACACGAATGAGTCACACAAGTCGACGTACTCCTGTGCTGTGTGTGTGTGTGGTTGTGTGTTGTGTGTGTGTGTTGTGTGTGGGTGTGTGTGTGTGTGTGGTGTTGTGTGTGTGTGTCGGTGTGTGTTGGTGGTGGTGTGTGTGTGTGGTGTGTGTGGTGGCTGTGTGTGTGTGTGGTGTGTTCTTTGTGGTCGAAATACTCGTCAACTATTTTTCAGTCCAAAATATTTACATATAGACCAATTGTTACCTAGTCTAAGGTTTCTTGCTGCTGGATTTATAGGATTTTGTGAAATCTTTTTACCAGGGCCGAACTCGACTTAGAGTCTAGGTACATAGACACCTAGGAGAGGCTTACCTTCATAGTAGTGGTATGTCTCGTAGTTCGATTAAGGACTTGTCAAGGAAGTGTACGCTAATAGGCTTCCTCCCTCAATGTGTAGTTGTTCTACCTCCTTATCTCGTCATAATTACAATGAAAGTCCTAATCGAGGTCAGTCTTTACCGGTTACCGAACCAGGTATACAGAGAAGAGGGTATCTCCGACTTTAAGTAGTACAATTACGGTCGTATGCGATAGTATACCGGAGTTTGTCAGG